GTTGCCCATCCCTGTCCACTCTGTGTGTAGGAGGGGTGGGAATGATTCTTGTTGCAAGGGCCCGTCAGCATTGTTCTTGTTCCAGTTATCCAATGCTACATAACAAAGTACTCCAAAATATAGTATCCTAAATCCATAGTGATTTTATTATTTCATGTGTTTGTGCATAAGAAGTTTGAGTTGGCTCAGCTGGAATAATTCTCCATATGGCATACACTGCAGTCACTCATGTGTTTGAACTGATCCCTGGGTAGGGATTACACTTTCATCTTAGCCTTTCCATGAGATCAGCTCAGGCTTCTTCATAATAAGGTGGTCTCACAGTAGTAGGAATAATTTCATGCCATGTTAGAACTTTAAAAGAAAAGTGTCCAAGTGGTAGCAAGAAAGAGAATGTGCTTGTCTCTGGCCTGCACCATGAAGTTGGTGCTGCATAACCTTGGCCATGCTTTCTGGGGCATTAGACCATTACATACATCTAGGTGAAAGGAAGACCTAATCCACACGGGCTACCTGCTGGCTAGCAATATTTGCATTTTTCCACATGGAAAATAAGCGTCCCATTCTGTCATGAGGCTCAGGTTAGAGGACTAGGCTAATCTTACTATGTGCATCAGGTCCAGGTAGAGAAGAAGGTCTTCATGAGTGGTTACTCAGGTGCAGAGTCTTTCATGTAATTTTCTCAATATGAAGAATTGTGGACTAACTAACAGTGTTGAGACACACGATAACTGTATACCCATTTAAGAAAGGAAAAAATGAAAGGCCAGAGGACCCACTGGTTCATAGCAATTCAGAAATCTAGTCAGACACATGGTACCAGTGTCACAATCAGAGCCCAATTGTACTCCCTGAAAATTATTCCCCTTGACTATTGAGTTTGCCCCTCTGAGTTTTTGTTTTTGCCTTCTAAGTCTCCTTCTTTTTCATTAAAAAGAAAATAGTCCAGTTTTGCACCTGAGTGGTTTCTTAGGCTGCAGGCCAGCAACATATTCTCATAGTGTATTGACTGTCTTTTCATTTGATGGTATCCTTTGAAGCACTGAAGTTTTTAATTTTGGTGAGGGTGCAACTTAACAATTTTGTCTTTTATCACTTACAGTTTTAATATCATAGCTAAGAAATTTTTGTTTCAGACAGTATTATTTAGATTTATTATCTATTCTTTCCTTTAAAGAAATGTAATATTAGGTCTTACATTTATCTTTGTAATATTAGGTCTGACTTTATCTTTGAGAGTAGTCTTAACATAAAGGATCCATATTCAGTCTTTTGCATATTGTTGTGTACAGAAACCCTATGAGGAGTGGCTGGTGAGTTTAAACCGCTGACCTTATAATTCAAATGATATTGTGTTCCAGTGTTCAATCTGTAGCACCACGCCAAGGCTTTTGTATATGGATTTTATCAAATATTCCCAACACCATTTGTTGAAAACTCCTCTTATGGAAACATTACAGTATATACAAAAGTAGACGGAGTTCTATAATGAATCCCTAGTAGCCATCATATAACATTGGTTTCCTTTGTTATCCTTGCCTTAGGTTGAGTAGGTATTACTAGAGTATTGTATAAAAGATCCCTAGACATTCTTATCAAGAAATACTTTAAAACTTATTTCTCATAGATAATAGTTGATAATTTTTCAAGGTTGGCAACATACCTTGAAATCACTCTAACCACTGTGGTGTGTTGATTTGAAAGCCTTTTTTGGGTGAATTTTGAAGTTGCATGGATACATTTGCTTTTTTTTTTTAATGTTTTATTGTGAATTATGTGATAGTTTACATGAGAGAACATTAGCTTTACATACATTTTATCGCATATCGTTTCATTGCCATGTTTACAATCTCCATACATCATCAACCAACTAAAGGGTATACCCTGCAAGCCTGCTTCCCCCCTCCGGTCATCAGCACACAGTCCCTCTCCCTGTCTAAAGTCCCCAGCTGCTCCATCTCTCCACATCATCGTCTCTGCCTCCATCTCTGGCATCACTGCTTCTCTGGGTAGGGTCCTGCTCTGCGCTCTTCTCCCATGATGGTCCCAGGGACCCGCTCCTAGACTGCCAAGTACAAGGAAGAAGCAGATTTATTTAAATTCAGAAAACCTGGAATGTGTATGATGAAGGGCTTCAGAAAGTTCACAGAATAATAGAATTTTTCCACGGAAATTTTTGAAGCAGCCTCTTATTTAAAAATACTACTGATACTTGCTCTGTCTCCCTACTCATATCTTCCCAGTTTCAACTTTTTAAAAACTCTTCTCGCTCTTATAATGCCTTGATTAATTTCAGTAATGTTTTTATGCTAGTTCTTGATTTCTCAGTTTTAGACAATATTACTTACCTCATTTGAAAAGTATAGATTATGTCATAAGCACCAACTCCCTTTCTAAATCTTAACTTTTAGTTAATTTGCAAAAACCTGATCCCTTCCACCTTCACAAGAGGGGAAGAGACGAAACACCATTATCAACCAACCCAAGGTCAGACATGCCTCTACCATACAACTTTCTTTACCAATTCTCAAACCTTCCTTCAAATCGCGTTCTAGTTCACTACTGGCTCTGAAAATCCACTGCAGTATTCACACAGGACTCACAGACAATACTCAGGAATAAGGGTTTTATTAGGGAAGCTTTGTTGTTGTTATTAAGTGCCATTGAGTCGGTTCCGACCCATAGCAACCCTGTACAGGGTTTCCAAGGAGTGGCTGGTGAACTTGAACCACTGACCTTGCAGTTCAAATGGCTTTGCAGTCTGGTGCATTAACCCACAGTGCCACACAAGGTGCAATTCAGGATGCAGCATCTCTCCAGTCAGAAGTACCTCTTCTCAGCCATGTCTCAATCATACCTCTGCTCCCTGGATCTCAGCAACATGGTTCCTTTGCCTTTGCCCTGTTTGGGCAAGTTTTACAAGCTACTTTAGCACTGTAGATAAATACCTAAAGGGCACCCCATTATAAAGCAGCCTCAGACTCTTAAGGCACTCCACCTCAGTCAGTCTGTGAGAAGCCCCACTGCTCTGTTCCTTCTCCACTGCTTCTCCACAAGGATCTCTGGATCCAAAGGATTGCTTCTCTTTCATGGTGATCAAGAGATGGCACATTTTGAAATAGCCCATTTGAAACGCAGCAGAATGGCAAAGCCAAACAATCCCTGCGTTATAGTCCTTCACACTGTATTTTCATGTTCCCACTGAATCATTGGGTGGAAGTTACAAAGTTATGAGTCAGTTCCAACTCCACAGCACATCACCACCACCACCACCAAGACAATGAATGAATAGAAGATCCGTGTCAAGTAATTCACTATACCATATGATTTAATCAATTATTAATCAGTTTTTATTGTATTTGTTGTTGGTAAGTGCTGTCGAGTTGATTCTATTCCGACCCGTAGTGAAGTGACCCTGTATATGGTTTCCAAGGAGCAGCTGATGCATTAGCCCACGCCACACCAGGACTCCTTTTATTGTATGCTGCAGCTGTTATGTGCTGTGGAGTCAGTTCCAACTCATAGTGACCCTGTACAGGGTTTCCAAGGCTATCAATCTTTACGGGAGCAGAAAGCTTCATCTTTCTCCTGCAGAACAGCTGGGAGTTTCAAACTAGAGTAGTATTTTGTGGTTACATTGTCGTTATATTGATTTTTTATTAATTTTCTCATTGATGGAGTTCATTGCAGTTTATGGAGGAAAACATTGTTAACAACTATAGATTCATTCACAAAACGGTTACCTTTTGCTTAAATTTGTAAATCTTCCTACCGATGAGTGTAACTGTGATGTCACTTTTCTTTTTTGCAGCTATAAAAGGGTGAAATATAAAGCTTTCATTAAACATTATGACTACTCATTTAGCTTCCAAAAGCTTATATTAAACTCCTACTGCATGTCAGCTCCCTCTAGATTCTGTAGGAAACACAGAAATCAATAAGATAAGCACTCCTTGCTATTTCATAAAACCTTACATAGAATCAATATAAACCCAAATCAAAACCCGCTGCCATCAAGTAGTTTCCAACTCATAGAGATCCTATGGGTTGGAGTAGAGTGTAGAACTGCTCCTTAGGACTACCAAGATGGTGAGAATAGACAGACCTGCATTTGAACCTCAGGCCTCACAGTTAACAGGCCATCATTTAATGTACAGTGAACCTTAAAAAGAAGACAGGCACATAAATTGAGCAAGTAAAATAAAAATGAATGTAAAGTGGTATTGGAGTCCTGGTGTGGAACTATGGGATAATGCCCTGTACCACAGGACAAAGGTTGGTTTGAATTGCAGGGTCAGAAGTTCAAATTCATCAACTGCTCCCCAGGAAACCCTATATAGGGTTGCTATGAGTTGGAAAAAACTTGTCGACACTTTACAACAAGAACAAAGTTGTATTGGGAGAAGTTGAGATTATTGACCTTGACCAGATAGAATCTTTGTCCTCTCTGGGTAGTTGGCATCTTCTGTTTTGTAGTTTTGAGGTGACATGAAACTCAGGACTCTTTAAGATTTATGGCAAAGGAGTGGCACTTTCTTCTAGTGAATGTCCTTTCTTGTACTTTTATTAGTTTTTCCTGCTCTGAACACTATCCTAGCCCTCATTTCCACACACAGCTCCACTTGCCCAGAAGAAGCAGAGGCTTTGCTTCTTAGTGTTAAGTGCTGAGGAAATCTTTAGGGAGGGAAGAGGGTTTCTCTGTACCCATGTCTTCTTAACCATCAGGGCCCTAGTTCATCTAAGCTTAGAAAGGAGTAGTTTAACACTAGAAGAGTTGTATTTTTTTTTTTTTTTTAATGATTGTCGTATCTCTATAAGGATCAGAAATTCAGTTATGATTGTCAGTTTAACTTGAAATAAACATGTAAGAATATAAACAAAGTGGAATTCTAGGGTACCTCATTTTTAATTACATAATTCCCACTCTGAGTATCACCTTCAACTTTCGTTACTGTTTTTTAAACAAATGTTTGCCTAAATAATTTGATTTTTTCCTTTAGCACCTGGCTGCTGTGGAGGAAAGAAAGATCAAGTCCTTGGTAGCGCTCCTGGTTGAAACACAAATGAAGAAACTAGAGATCAAACTTCGACATTTTGAAGAGCTAGAAACAATCATGGACAGAGAGAAAGAAGCTGTAAGTAAAGGGAAGTCATTGTGGCTTTTTTGGGCAATAAAATCATGACTGTTTTAACTAAAATATACATTAGATAAAATAAGTGGTGGCCTACTCTGTTCGTCTCTTTAGCTATTTTCTGTCCCTTTTATCCTGTATTTTCCTTGCCCTATCAAAAGGATCCATAATTCATCTGTCCCTTTTTCGTACTGAGGTGGCTTTCAAGTTGCTTTGATGCTGGAAGGTATGCCACCAGTGTTTTAAATACCAGTAGGGTCACTTGTGGTGTACAGGTTTGAATGGAGCTTCCAGAATAAGATTAGGAAGGAGAGGCAGACTACTTCTGAATGTTTAGCCACTGAAAACATATGAATAGTAGCAAAACATTGTCAGATGTAGTGCTAGATGATGAAAACATTATGTATAGCCCTAGAATTTATCACATATACTGCCAGAAGATGAGCTCCTTAGGTTGGTAGCCATTCAGGATACACCTGGGGAAGAGCTGACTTCTCATAGTAGAGTTGACTATGATGATTCAAGTGGAGTAAAGCTTTCAGACCTTTGTTGACTGATGGGGCACAACTCAAAATGAGGAGAAACAGCTTTAAACATCAGTTAATAATGGGAACATGGAATGTGCAAAGTATGAATCTGGGAAAATTGTTATTTGTCAAAAACGAAATGGAACACACATAAACATTGATATCCTAGGCATTGTTGTTAAGTGCCGTTGAGTCAGTTCCAACTTAGAGTGACCTGTATTAGTGAGCTGAAATGGACTATATTGAACATTTTTAATCAAGAGAAATGACATATGATACATCATCAAAAAGAATGTTTCAAGATCTATCTTGAAATACAATGCTGTCTGTGATAGGATAATATCTGTACAAGGAAGACCAGTTCATACTGCATACCAACCACTAAAGCCCATTGATAATGAAATTAAAGAATTCTGTTAACTTCTTCAATCTGAAATTGATCAAACATGCAATCAAGATGTATTGATAATATCCCTATACAGGGTCACTATGAGTCGAAACAAACTTGGCGGCACTTACGACAACAACCAACCAACTTCTTCAGTCTGAAATTGATCAAACGTGCAATCCAGATGTATTGATAATTACTGTTGATTTGAATGCACATGTTGGAAACACAGAGGAAGGATCACCTACAGAAACCCTATCCAGGGTCAATGAGTCGAAAGCAACTTCAAGCCACTTAGCAGCAACAATCATAGTCAGAGGCTCAAGTCATAGCTGACATTTCAATCGTTGGCAGTGGAGATGGATTTCTGTGGCCAGCAGCCTCTCTTCCTCTTTCCCACCCCTCCTCCGTTCTTTGTACAAATAGAAGTTGGGAGAAGAGCTTTGTGTGAACTTCAGCTGCAATTGCAGCTGGGTCTGGTGTCTTGGTGTAGAAGAGTACTCTGTTGTGTTCAAGTTCCGGATTATACACGTACAGTGTAGCAGTGGTGGGAAAGAGGAAGGAAGGCACAGTTTGAATGCAGCGGGGGATGTGACTTCAGAGCAGGACTACAGGCATCATTGTCTGAAATGGATTCCCTAAAGTCATTTTGGAGTCTTGAAAGAAAGTTAACACATTCAGAAGCATCGTATTTATATCAGTAATTTATACTTGTATGTTCATAGTTCCAAGAAATAGAGAAAGGAGAAAAGAAAACATCATGTCTATACTATAGCACATAATGGACAGTTTTCAGTAGTTTTGTTTTTGTTTTTTGTTTTTTCATTACAAACATGATCCGTGTGTGATATAAAAATAAATTTCAGATAATAAATGAGTATATCCATTCCTGAGGATTGTCACTCTTAATAATTTCATGTCTTCCAGAATAGTTGCAAAGTTTATGTAAACATATTTCAACATGTGTTTTATATGTGTGTGTCTAAGTATATACAAACACACAGTTGGAATTGTGTTTTAAATTGGTATTGTGACTAGCTCCCCACACCCCAGCCACTGAGTGTATTTCAGACAAAACTAAGTCCAAAATAATGCTTCGGTGACTGTCCTTACATGTACAATCACTGACTCACTGGTTAAGTAAGTTTAAAATTTGCTCAGTATTGCCAAATTCCCCTCAGTAACTCCCAGTTACATTCTCTCTGCCTATCACCAAAGTAAATGCCATCATAACTGGATTCATAACAAATAAGATGTCCAGAACAAGAGAGGTATTTCCTTCCAGTCCTCCTGGGCCTACTTGCAGCTTGCTATCTGGGCATGATTATCTCTTCAAAGAACCTGCTCAAACCACATTAGAGTTTTATGCTTAAAGTGGGCTCTCTTGTATGTGTGCATGTTTAATAATTTATCCTTTTCCATTCTTTATTAATTATCTCTTTTAAATTGACAGATGAAACTCAGGCTTAAACAGGATAATTGAGGTTATCAGCTCATGCTATAGCAAGAAAATTGAGTAACTTTTTCTTCCCAACTGCTTATCCCATCCTATTAAGAACAATAGATACTTCATATTTCTTTCCAGGGCTAATTCCTAGGTACAAAGGTCAGCTGCAAAAAATAGACTATAGTTCAGTTTTAAAGTACAACAAACAAAAACAATACTAAGCTAAATAATGCAGAATAAAATTTCCCTTCAGAAACACAGAAAATTTCTCTCTTGTAATGGTTCAGCTTCTTTATAAAAAATCTTGACCTAAAATTGCTCGTCTCTTACATAACTGCAGGACTTCCGCCAAGCTAACCTGACCAGTAGTGGCTCAGCAAACACTTACATAGGAAGTCCTTTTCCGACAGTCTCTTAGGTTTTAGCAAATTATCATAAAGTCCTAAATTGGTTAAACCAAAATATACTTTGCCAAATTCTGACTCATACTGGCCGTATGAGCCACACATAGGATTGCCAAGGCTGTAATCTTAATGAAAATAGAGAGCCAAATCTTTTTCCTGTGCAACGGCTATGGGGTTTGAACCAATTAACAGCCAAACACCTAACCACTCACTGCACCTCCAAGGCTCCTTGGTAATGAAAGTATATTTATTTACAGAACTGGCTGCTTCCAAACCTACTATTAAATTCCTTTGAATTGTGCTAGTCCTGGTATAGGACTATAGGGATAAATATTGGACTTCTAACGAAAACTGTTAATTTTGTCTGTGAAACCTTCACTCAATTCACAACAAAAAGTCAAAAATTTATATATAAGCTCTTGTAGCATGGTGGTTACAAGTCTCCTGATGTACAGTCAGTAAGGAAGACCATAGAAGAATAGATGCTTTTGAGTTATGGTGTTGGAGGAGAATATTGAAAGTGTCGTGGGCTGCCACGACATGAAAATACCAACAGTTACACCTTAGATAACCACTCATCAGCAGACACTACTCACTAATGTGGAGTCCTGGTATGGTGCTGTAGGTTAACAGAACCAATAGATCTGTGCTGGAAGAAGTGCAGCCAGAGTGCTCCTTGGAGGCCAAGATGGCCAAACTTCATCTCTCATACTTCGGACATATTGTCAGGAGGGACCAGTCATAGGAGAAGGAACAAGTGTGACAAGAGACGTTCACTTAACCTGAGGAAGAGAAAACCCAGAGACAGGTCATGGAAATTATTAAAATATCTAGAGGACTCTGCTGTTGTGAAAATTGAAGAAAAGGTTTTCATTTTAAAAGAAACATTCTTGGATAGTTATCAGGGGAAGGAAGGGAGAGTAACTCACTGGCTAGAGTGTAGACTCTTGGGTGTCACCCTGGATGATGGAAAGAACAGTACACAAGACGAAGGAGGTTGGCAGAAGATTGATGAAGGCAGGTGAAGACAGGTATGCAAGGGCTAAAGTGGGTAGGATAGATACCTGAACAGATACACAGGCTGAGCGGATATGGGAGGAAGAGTGGAAGTAGACCAACACATATGTAAGGGTTTGAAAGAGGATATTTGCACATGGGTTATTTATTTATGTTTGCGGCAAACACATAAAAATGTGATGGAGTGTACAGTGGGCAAAGCAGTATAAATATAGATATCATCAAACACCTGGAGACAATCTGTTAATGGGCCTAGGGGCTCAGGGCCATATTCTCAGGGGATACCATGATCAATTGGCATAACATAGTTTTTTATGTTGTTTTACATCCTACATTAGTGAGTTGTTGTTAAGTGCTGTTGAGTCGGGGCTGACCAATAGCGACCCTGTTTAGGGTTTCTGAAGAGCAAGTAGTGAGCTTGAACCACCAACCTTGCAAATTCAAATGGCTTTGCATTGTGGCGCATTAACCTCTACAGCACCATACCAGGACTCCATATTAGTGAGTAGTGTCTGCTGATGAGTGGTTATCTAAGGTATAACTGTTGGTATTTTCATGTTGGAAGACAGAAGAGTGATGAGAATTGAAGATGCTTAGAATCAGTTAATCCAATTGGACTAATGGAACATGTTGGTTATGATCAAAAGTCTCCATGATTCTGAGATCAGAAGAACTAGATGGTACCCAGCTACCACTGCTAACTGATCTGAAAGGGATCACATTAGGTGGTCTTGGATAGAGTGGGAGAAAATGAGTAACTAAACTATTTAATTAAAAAAAAAAGACCAGGCTGACTGGTCAGAAAAACTGGAGGAACCTGAGACTGTGACCCTCAACCACCCCTTCAGATCTGGAAAGGAAAACACCCTTACAGCCCAATTTTCAACCAAGCAGTACATTGGTATATAGAGGGGACAACAACACTAATAAGGTATGCTCATCATGGAAATCAAAAGGACAACAATTATCTATGGACAGTGTTGAGAAGGAATAGGAAGGAGGGTGAAATGGAAATAGGGACCACAGGGAGGAAGTGGTTGTTGCATGGAAGTGATTGCATCTTTGAGATGAAACAAAGTGTAAGATTTGTTGAATATGAAACTGTTGATTTTGTCTGTTAAACCTTCACTCAATTCACAACAAAAAGTTAATTTATATATAAGCTCTTGTAGCATGGTTTTTACGAGTCTCCTGGTAACTCTAGGTCAAAGTTCGAAACTACCAGCCATTCTTCAGGACAAAGATGAGACTTTCTGTTCCTGTAAAGATTTACAGCCTCAGAAACCCTATACAGGGTTGCTATGAGTCAGAACCTACTCCATAGACCACCACCGTGTGTGTGTGTGTGTGTGTGTGTGTGTGTGTGTGTGTGTGTGTTTGCGCGCACTTGTTCATGTGTACATACATATATATTTAGAGAGAGAGGACTGTCAATCAGGGAGAGAATTAACATGTGTCCTGAATGGGCCCAAAGGGCAAAAGCCCATCTGGGTAAAGGCCGCAAAGAAAGCCATGCCTTAGATTCTACATAGAGAAGACCCTGACTATGATCATAGATGCCCAAATGGAAATAGGGTGCTTAAGAAATGCCTCTCTTTCATAGTAAGTATTTCAGGAGGCAACAAGGCTATTTACCTGTGATGATTCACAGGGAATCCAAGCTTCAGATCGATGTCTTGTGTATCATACAATTCTGAAAATCTGTTCCGGTGTTACTTTCCTTTTCCATCCTGTTTCAGCTTGAACAACAGAGGCAGCAGTTGCTTACTGAACGTCAGAACTTCCACATGGAACAGCTGAAATATGCTGAATTACGAGCCCGACAGCAAATGGAACAGCAGCAGCATGGACAGAATCCTCAAGCACACCAGCATTCAGGAGGACCTGGCCTAGCCCCACTTGGAGCAGCAGGGCACCCTGGCATGATGCCTCATCAGCAGCCTCCGCCATACCCTCTAATGCACCACCAGATGCCGTTACCTCATCCACCCCAGCCAGGTGAGAGGAAACCTCTGCTAATGAGTTCGACTTGTATGGTCCCTGGGGCATAAAGCATCAGAGGGGGTTTTGTGGCTCCAGCTGTACAAATGTAAATTCTCATTTTAAAATCTATACACAAATGAGATCTGGTGTTAATCATCACTGTATAAAGCCTGTCATGTTCTCTTTGCACAAGTCCCTTTGCTTAGATCAGTCTGAATGGACAGTATGAAGAAGGGGCTTCAAAAAGTTCTTGGAAAAATGGAATTGAAAGATCATGGAATATTCTTACAAACTTTTTGAAGTCCCCTCAAACTTGTTACAGACATTTTCAAAGACATAAATACAAAAACATTATACTATAATGATGCAGACCAACTGATTACTACAAGAAAAAGCAAGTTGCTCACCCAGGTGCCATCAAGGCAAGTGGTCAGGTCCCCTCAGAGCAAACCCCCTTCCAAGACTAAGACTCAATTGGAATACACACTCAGATAGGTGACCACGCTCATCGCTGATAGGGGAAGTGAGGGAAAAACAGCAATGAAGCTGCAAGCTAAGCCCTACAATGTTCAATAGACTGCTGTGAGCCCAGGTGGAGAGCTGGTTGGCCAGCAGTGTGGCAAGGCCTAGGGACTCTTGGGCCCAGAGTCAGTGACATAGCCACAGTGGTCCAGCTGATAAGAAGATAGGACATATGCACAAGAACACCCACACTTGCAGATAATACCCACTTGACCTGGCTTCAATGACTAGATGAGCAGAGCTCAACCAGAAGAAGAGAGAAGAGGAAAAAAAGAGTAATTTTATACAATTTGATGAATATGACCGACACCTATGGATGCAGTAGCTCAAAAGAGGGAGCAAATCTTTACAGCAAGTATTATTCCCACCCCCCTCCATACACAGAGTAGATAGGAATAGGCAACTTGGACATTGGCTACCCAAAAAAAAGGGGTGGGGCTGGCGCTACAAAGGCAAGAAGTGACTGGCTTACAAGCTTTCAAGAGGAAACCTAGAGGAACTCTGATCATCAAACCGTCGAAACTATGTCAAATGGGTACCATCAACAAGTTTGAGCATTCTTATGTGTCTCCCCTCCCTTCATATCAGCTGGACGCTTCACTCTCAGGAGTCTCTAGTCAACACCTTTTAATGTTTTTTTCTGACAGTCTCCAACAATAGACATAGTAAAGAGAATAGTGTAATCTTAATCACCCATATATAGCCAGCTTCAAAAAAATTTTTTTTTTCCTCAGCGTTACTTTATCTGTCTCTCCTCACTTTGGGGACAGAGCTAGATTTCATAATGTGTCATTAACAAATGTATATCTTATTCTTTAACAATAACCTTTATACATACATATATATATATATATATATATATATATATACACACACATATATGTTGTTGTGTGCCGTGGAGTCGGTTCCGACTCATAGCGACCCTATACAGGGTTTCCAAGGCTGTAAATCGTTATGGGAGCAGAAAACCTCATCTTTCTCCTGCAGAACAGCTGGTAGTTTCGAACTGCTGACCTTGTGGTTCGCAGTCTGATTTGTAACCACTACGCTACCAGAGCATATATGTATATAGATATGTTTGGGTTTTTTTTTTTAAGTTTTTATTGTGAGATTTACGTGGGAGAACATCAGCTTTACACTCTTCGTATCATATTTTCTTTCTTTGCAATGATTATAATCCCCTCCACGGATCATTAAATAGCCCCAAAGGGTACACCACACAGGCCCACCCCCCTGGCCGCCAGCACACAGCCCTTTTCCCTCCCTGAGTCCAGTGTCCCCAGCCTCTCCATCTGTCCACGTCATTGTCTCTGTCTCCATCCCCGGCATCGCTGCCTCTCTGGGTAGGGTCCTGTTCTCCGTTCTTCTCACTTTCCCAGGGACCTCCACCCCTGGGCTGCAAAATCAATCGCTCTCCTCCTTTTGTCAAAAAATAACTACCTCTATATTTCCTAGTCTAAGTCAGTCCTGTTGGCAGTTATTCAGTGTTGTACCACAAGAGTTTTATCCCATTTCCTTTTGCCAGCCTAGTCCCTTCAGATTGGAAATCATTCAGTGGTGATTCAGCCTTCCCCCGCCATGTCTAGAACTAGGCTCTATCTTGAAAGCTTGTAAGCCAGTCACTTCTTGCCTTTATAGGCTACCCCCCATTTTGGATAGCCAATTTCTGTGTTGCCCCTCCTTGTCAACCCTGCGTACTGAGGGAGTGGGAGTAATCCTCACTGTAAAGATTTGTTCCCTTTTTCGAGCTACTACATCCATAAATGTAGGTAAAGTTTATTAAATTGTAGCAGGTTACTCTTTTGTTTCCCTCTTCTTTTTTCTTTTAGTCGAGTTCTGATCATCCAGCCATCGAAGCCAGGTTAAGTGGGTACTGTCTGAAAGTATGTGTGTTCTTGTGCATCTCCCCTCACTTCATATCAACTGGATGCTTCACTCTCCACTTTAATCCTCTGTGGCCATGTTACTGCCTCTGGGCCCAGGAGTCCCCGAGTCTTGCAGTACTGCTGGCCATCCAGGTCTCCACCTGGATTCACGGGGGTCTATTGAATGTGGTCGGGCTTAGCACATAACTTCATTGCTGTTTTTTTCCCCCTCTTCCCTTATCGGTGACCAACGTGGTCACTAGCCAGAGCACATGCCTGCTCATGTATTCCCCTTGAGTCTTAGTCTTGGAAGGGGGTTTGCTCTGAGGGTTCCCGACCACTTGCTTTGATGGCTCCTGGGCGAACAGCTTACTTGTTCTTGTAGTAATCAGTCAGACTGACATTATTGTTTCGGATTTTTCCTGCCGGTTTTTCTTTCACAAAGTATCTTCTGTTCTCTAGCCGCTCCAGGCTGGTCTACTTACTAGTCCTTTCCAGTGGAAATTTCCTACCTCAGTCAGTTCTGGATGGGGTTCTGGGTTCCACCTATGGTCTTGTTCCTCTTTCACTGGGCAACTTCTAGCCCCCTTTAAGGTATTCCAATCAGTTATATGTTGAAGACAGACTTACAAGCTTTCTGTAGTGATGATTCTGGCTATTCCTTTTTCCCCACCTCAAGTGTCTATTTTACAATGGTAGAAAAGAAAAACCAAGATTCAAAAGACAGCCAAGCATCTTAACACTGTTCCCCTCTTTCACCTCTTCAACCGTGCCTCAATCCCTATATCCCAGAGCCCTGTTGTTCCAAGGTTGTGCATACATCATCATTTACCCCTGTCCCACTTAGTACATGGGAACCTGCCTAACTGTTCTCCCATCAGCCTTTTTCTTCCATTCCCATCCCCCTTCTTGTGTATTGCCCCTCCCCCCATCCCATACATCCTGGTGATCAGCAAATAAAAATATAATTTTCCCCCCCCTTTATAGTGTGGGTTTTCTTACTCTTTTACAATAATGGTCCTATGTAGTATTTCTCCTTTTGTGACTGACTACTTTCACTCAGCATGATGTCCTCCAGGTTCATCCATGTTATGCAGCGGCTTTTAATTTTCAGTATGTCCCAATCATCTATTTTGTCTATTTTTGTTTGTGTAATTTTCAAATTGTTTGTATTCTGTAGTCTCTGTATTCCCTTTATTAGAGCCCTCACATTTGTCCCTGTTTTTTCATTGATGACTTTCATAATTTTGGGATTCGCATTTAGGTTAATCTATGTTGAGTTGGGTTTTGTATAGGGCATGAAGTATAAAGGTCTTGTTTCAACCTTTTGCATTTCGCTTTCCAGTCCTGCCAGCACCATCTGTTAAAAAGACTATTATCTCCTCCCCATGTAACATACCTAGGCACTTTGTCCAAAATCACTTGGCTGTATGTGAGTGGGTTAATTTCTGGATTCTCGATTCTGTTCCATTGATCAATGTATATTTCATTATAACAGTACCAGGCTGTTTTGGCCACTGTAGCCATGTAGTAGATTTTGAAATTGGGGAGCAAGAGGCTTCCAACTTTGTTCTTCTTGAGCAGTGCTTTGCTTATCCTGGGTCTCCTTCCTTTGATTATAAAGTTTGGAATTGTCTATTCCATCTTTTTGAAGAATGTTGCTGGAATCTGGGTCGTGATTGCATTAAATAACATAACCTATATTATACCCAACAAAATTAACGGTAGTTTCTAAGATGAGTTAATGCCTTTGATTGTTTGGTTGGTTTGAATCAGTATTCAAAGGAAGTCCACATTTATGTCATTTCACATGTCTTCCTTTCCAGTTCCCTTCACCCCATTGCCCATAAACCTCTGCATTGCTCTAATCAGAACACGGTTTACTTTTGTTGGCAGTCATTCTTTGTTAGTTATCTGTTATTTGTAATATTAACATTGTTCATTAGTTGTGGTTTTGTCATAATGATCTGTCCACTACAGAAATTCCCATCAGACTTCCCCTGATAACTTTAGTTGTCATGGATAATTGTTGTCTAGGTCAATTATTTCATTATTTGTTGTAGAATGGTGATTTTACCAAAGTTTTTTATTTCTTTCATAATTATTGACAGTAATTCTTTTATTTAAAAAACCACAACTTTCCTTCATCAGTAATTTTTGCTGAAAATTAGTCCATACAGAAAAGACTGAATAAATGCTTGCTTCTTTCCCTTTATCAGTTATCTGAATAGGAGTTGTCCCTCCCCCACCAACTCTCCAGAGGTGATCAGTGAGGATCTTTTCTATTATTTTTTAGTATATATTTTTTTCTGTTGTTAGTCTTAAGAATTTATACTTTTTGCATAATGGTTTTAAAACTTATTATGGGCATACTTTTTGACACCAAATTGTCCCATATTTGTTGTTGTTATGTGCTATTGAGTCAGTTCTGACCCATAAGTGACCCTGTATTGGGTTTCCAAGGAGCAGCTGGTGAGCTTGAACCACCAACCTTGCAGTTCAGATGACTTTGTAGTCTGACGCATTAACCCACAGCGCCACACCAGGACTCCTTAGCTTTGGCTAAATCATGTACAGGCCTGCTAAGATAACTATAAAAGATCCTTGGAAGCCTAACGTCTTCAAGGG